GCATCTGCTACATCTCATCCGCAAAGGCGGTGGTCAAGGTGTCGGAAAGCCGTGACGATGGTGAAAAACATGTTGATGTCGAACTCCGTGATGATCTACTTGTGCTGGAGACATGCGCCGATTCGACTCAGACCCTCATCACCCTGGCCAATGCGCTGACGCCACCTACACCCCCGAGCAAAGAGAACAAGTACCGCACCTCAGTTGTTCCTGTCCAGGATCTGCTGGCTTCGATTTCTGCCGAAGCTTTTGGCAGAGCAGAAGGCGATTATGACTTTGACAAAGACTTTGAGCTCGCTCAGGAGCTAGGTGGCAGTGATGAAGACGACATGTCAGGCAATGACAGCCCGTTACAAATCGACTCACGTTATTATGAGGACGCTGGCCCTTCGGAGGCACTCTTTGACGCGGAGGGCTCAATTACATCGAACGCTACAACGACTCAAGATACACACGATGGGGTGTTGCTTACGAGCTTCAACGCAAGTGCATCACACCATTCCGATGATGGCAGTGACCTGGTGATTCACGAGAATTTCTTCGACAAGGGACCCGAGACCGACGGTAGAGCCCAGGTTTGGAACTCGTCGAGGAACAGCTACGACGCAGCGCCGAAGGAGCTTGTCAAGAGGAGCCCACTCCGAGTCTCAGTCCGCGATGTGCATGTCATTTGGAATTTGTTTGACGGATACGATTGGGAGCGCACGCGCGATGTCATCTCGAAGGCTGTGCGAGACGTCGAGGATAAGGCCTACGAACGCCGCCGCAGATCAGAGCGTGCGGTCTTTGAAGACGATGTGGAGGAAGACGAGACGGTGATTGGGGATTTCCTCTTCAATTCCATCTACATCGGCATCTCATCGAAGCAAGACCCCCGAGAGCTCGCACAAATGGTCAATCAGGAGTTGAACGACAACGCCACAGAGACTGAGTCTCTCGCAACAACAGCCTTCACGACGGCAACCGGCCGAACGGGAGCACCCAGACCCAAGAAGAGATTGAGGTTGAATCGGAGCAAGCACCACAAGATTACGTTCGAGCTGCAGGGAGTCAACGTTGATCTAATTGCCTTCCCACCTGACTCTGGCGAGACTCAAAGTTCCATCGACGTACGGATCCAGACTCTGGATGTGTTTGACCACGTCCCTACATCTACCTGGAAGAAGTTTATGACCTATGACCAAGACGCTGGCGAGCGGGAGATGGGAACCAGCATGGCTCACCTGGAACTGCTCATCGTCAAGCCACAGCCGGATCTTGCGGCTTCAGAGATGGTTTTGAGAGTCACTCTATTGCCACTTCGACTTCACGTTGACCAAGACGCACTCGACTTCATTACGAGATTCTTCGAGTTCAAGGACGACAGCGCTCCCGTGCATAGTTCAACGAGCGATGTGCCGTTCCTTCAGAGAGTCGAGGTTCATGATATTCCCGTCAAGCTGGATTTCAAGCCCAAACGAGTCGACTACGCAGGTCTCAAATCAGGCCGGACCACGGAATTCATGAACTTTATCATCTTGGACGAAGCCCGTCTGACACTGCGACACACTATTATCTACGGCGTTTCTGGATTCGACAGAATGGGCAAGATTCTCAATGACATTTGGATGCCTGACGTCCAGGGCACTCAGTTAGCTGGCGTTCTCGCAGGTCTCGCGCCAGTGAGGGGTATCGTTAACATTGGCAGCGGATTCAAGGAGCTTATCGAGGTCCCCATCAAGGAGTACAAGAAAGACGGACGCATCGTTCGAAGCATCGGAAAGGGCGCAGCGGCGTTTGCCCGCACCACCGGCACTGAAATGGTCAAATTTGGAGCCAAACTGGCCATCGGAACGCAATATGCGCTACAGGGCGCCGAGGGCCTCCTCAACAAGCCCCAGACTGACAACACGTGGGAAGAGGCTGATCTCGATCCAGAAGAGAAGAAGCAGATCTCTCTGTACGCGGATCAGCCCACCGGTGTCATTCAGGGGCTGCGTGGGGGCTACTCGAGCCTGACGAGAGACTTGAACATGGCCCGCGATGCCATCATTGCGGTTCCGGGCGAGGTGACGGACAGCCAGAGCGCGCAAGGTCTTGCCAAGGCCGTGTTGAAGAGGGCGCCTACCATTATTTTCCGACCGGCTATTGGAGCTACCAAGGCCATTGGGCAGACGCTCATGGGCGCGACGAATAGCCTGGACCCGCAGAACAGGCGGAGAGCCGAGGAGGTGAGTGACCCGACGTGTAGTCAGATGTTCCATGATGTCGTCCTTGCTAACTCTTGGATTAGAAATACAAGAGGCATTAAAGATTCCTGTGGAAATTCTTTTTTACAAAGAAATACACGCGCATTACATACACCAGATACCAGGAATAAGGCATTCGGCACTTTTTCTTCTTCACTTGTTTCATTGAATTTGAGTGCGGCGTTGTCATCAAACCGACAATTCCGATACGACCGCATGAAGACTCGCATCATAGACTGGCGAAGGAGGACTTCCCCCCCCCCCCCCCCCCCCTTTTTTTTATCTTTTTTTTTTTCTCTCAGTCTTGAGAGTTTTCAAATAGGGTTGCAGTTTTTTTTCTAATCGGCCATTGGTCATTATCAATTTGGACCTTTCTTTTTCTTTTGTTGTTGTTGACTCGATCTTCGATCTGGGATGTGGGGAACTCGGGAATGGGAAAGGGTTTCTGATTTTTGTTTGTTTGGTGAGATGGGGAAAGGCGGGAAGAGGCAGTTTGAGAGGCAAAAGAGGGTTGTAAGACTGTCTTTTGAATCATTGTAACCCGCCCGTAGGGTATTAACCATCAATTCCGTTGAAGTTGAAACATTTCGATGTCCTTTTCGTGGCGATGATGGGAGCAGTGCTGTTGAGCTTCTGTGCCGCTGTTGCTCTGGGTCAGGCCCATGCCGATCTCAAAATGATGGATGTCGCGGGGACAGGTCTCAGCTCAATGGCATCCCCTTCTTCTCTACGAGGAAGGTGACTTCCGGACACTAAACGTGGTGCAAAGCGCGCGAGTCTCTCATGAGACAAGATAATCACCACGACGATAATCGGAGTTTTTAAACGCCGGAATCTCGGAAACCGATGTACTCCATAGTGAGGGGTGCCTAGCTTACATATGCAAGCAAATACCAGCAGATGCGCCTCGCTCTCGCGCGCGCGCGCGCGCACATGCTGGATGCAGCCAGGTACTGGGCCGCACCGGGATCGCAAAAGCACGTCAACGGCCGTCGAGCTCTGTAATTGGTTGCGCCGTCCGATCTAAGCTGCGCGTTGACGAAAGCTAGCTGCAAGGGTTTTGGGGGATTTCCCGAAGCTCTTGCGACAAGTTGTCGGGGAAGCTCTGACGGCGAGTAGCGATGAATGATTGCAACTTGCGCAGTGTCATGGAACGGAATGATGGGAGTACGGACGTCGGGAACCGGGAACGGAGGAAGCTTAACAATCACAAGTGTGACTCGCGGATTTTCAATTGCTGAAAATAGGGCTGACAATGTTGCATCTTTTTGTTGAGAGTTGCCCAGCGTCTTTGTTTGCCCAGGCCGCCGGGAAACAACGCAGTTGCATTAGGTTAGAGGTGTCAGATGCAGGGATGAACTCTATGATAAGTTGCCGTGTTGTTTCTTGCCCGTATTATTTCTGGGCAGAAGCTGAGAGCGGAAAGTCTATGACTCTCACACACGGAAGCCATGGGAAAACACCCCCTCTTTTTTTTTGAACATGGGCATTTCTTATTATGCCATGTTAATCCATGCGACAAAAAGGAATAGAATAACTAAGAATGGAGACGGATAGTTTGTCAATTTCGCTCCACGCCCTTTGGTCGCAAAGCCCGGGCCCGTCTCATCACCACCACCACCATCAACACCACCAACACCACCTTGATCAACGAGTCACTTTCTCTGACCAACCCAGACAGAGTTCAGGTTGGGTGGAGGGCAAAGAGGAGTAAGTCCGAATCTCTCCGGCCCGCCTCTCTTTTACGGATACATTTCGCTATTTGTGTGTCTTGGGAGGAGGCATCCGTTTTGTTCTGTGAGCAATCTTATTAGCTGTCATAGTCTCTTCCCCCAAACCGCTCAGGTACTTCCCTACCTACTTTCCTCCGTGATCCGATTTTCCAAATAAAGATGGCGTCATCGATATGACGGCCGATCGGAATCAGTCGCTGTCTATCAGCGATTTCTCTGTTTCCAACCCCGGTTCAGCCTAGTTACTTCTCATGTCAGGAACTAGGAAGCAGGCCCGGCGAGGACTCCGTAAGGTGGAGGAAACCATTCTGGGTAAAAAGTTCCCTTTTGGCCCTTTTGGCAGCGCGTCCAATACCACATCGTGGGGATGACTCGTGGCCCATTCGGGGCTTTTATTTTGTTGCTTTGCTTGCGCTTTGTTGCATTTTCTGTGTCCGTAATCCCGCAACGAGGATAGCCAGCTGAAGGGGGAGGGGGGAGGAGGAGGAGGTATGGTAAGGTCAGGTACCTTTGGCTAAACACTAAATTAGTAGTTGCCATTGAGTACTACTTTGCATTCCCGTGAACATGCTAATCTCGTGAAACCGACTTTTTATTTTTCCCGTTCCCTTCCCTCCATCTTCATCTTTCTCTCCTTCTCTTTCCTCCCTCTCACACACCTCTTGCCTCACATCACGAAAGGAGCTTGACAACGACTGACCCATAACGCAAACGCCAGCGACACAAGAATCAGCGCGCGATATCATAGAGAGAGAAGCTTCAAGAGAGATCAACCACGACAAAAAAAAAATACATTCCGGTGATTCCGCCAGCTACTTGTCACTCGAGAGCGTGTTATCTCGCGATCTACCCCGCCTCCACCATCGGAATCTGCCCCGCCAGATTCGCACACACACGCATACGCACGCGCGGCGCGCATTACACACAGAACAGTCGCAATAAGATAAGGTTGTCTCCCTGAAAAAGTGAGGCAAAAGTCGCAATCGTGGCGATAATCACCGACACTACCACTCCTACCACTCCTACCACCACCGCCAATATGTCGGACGGGAAACGCGCCGTAGAGTCGGACAAGGGTTTGTAATCCCTTTTCCCTTTTGCGCCTTTGCACCTTTTGTCGCAATGCAAGAAAACATGGGATTGAATTGCTGTTTCTTTGATGTTTCCGCCGCAACCTCACTTGCTTTCCAACATGCCCAAACTCCTTACTCCGTCACATTGTCGCAAACGATGAATAACCCCCCCAAAAACACCAAAGCTGACTGCAACCCACAGTCTGGACAACCCTCATCACCAACCTAGACTACCTCTCAGGCCTCCTCACCCTCAACCACTCCCTCGTCAAGTCCGGCTCAGCCTACCCCCTCGTCGCCCTCTACACAGACACCTTTCCCGCCGAGGGCCTCGTCGCCCTCGAGCGCCGCGGCATCCCCGCCCAGCGCATCGAGTACCTCCTCCCGACAAAGGGCCGCGACTACTCCAACGACCCGCGCTTCTACGACTGCTGGAGCAAGCTCTCCCCCTTCTCCCTGACGCAGTACACCCGCGTCGTCCAGCTCGACTCGGACATGCTCGTCCTGCGCAACATGGACGAGCTCATGGAGCTCGAGCTCGACGACGGCGACTTCGCCGCCGAGCAGACCCCCGGCGCTGCCATCGGCGGCAGTCCCCCCAAGAGCCCGACGCTCGATGACCTGGCCGTCAAGAACCCGAGCACCCGCGTCTTCGCCGCCGGCCACGCGTGCGTGTGTAACCCGCTCAAGAAGCCGCACTACCCATCCGACTGGACGCCCGAGAACTGCGCCTTTAGCACACAGCACAACGACCCGGAGACGGCGCAGCACACGGGCCCGGACCCCGTCACGGCGTCGCCGCTGGGCTTCATGAACGGCGGGCTGCAGGTCGTGAACCCGTCCGAGGCGCTGTTCCGGCAAATTGTGAAGCACATGGAGCAAGGGGCCATGGACATGGATTTCGCGGACCAAAGCCTGCTGTCGGATCTGTACCGGGGGCGGTGGGTGGCGCTGCCGTACGTGTACAATGCGCTCAAGACGCTGCGGTGGGAGGGCGTGCACGGGGAGATTTGGCGGGACGAGGAGGTGAAGAATATTCACTACATTTTGGCGCCCAAGCCGTGGGATGAGATTGATGCCGTGACGGGGGAGTGGACGGGGACGGAGGAGAGTCATCGGTGGTGGGTTGATTTTAACCGGGAGAGGAAGGCGATTGAGGTCGCGAGGGGGGTTGATGACAAGTTTTGAGCATCGTGGCGTGGAGTTAATGACCGGGAGAAGATGTTTTGCTGCCTTTATGGCTTTATTTGCGCTTTGATATTCTTTTTGCAGTTCAGAGTTTTTGAGAGTCTGGCATAACCGGTATGAGTAATGGGGCTCATTAGATATATGTCTTCGTCGACGACAGGTTTGAAAATAATAATACCCGGGGTATTGATCACATACTGAAATGGGAACGAAACCTCAGGTTTTCCAATCAAACCAACCACACGTCTCATCAACATGGTACCCACCCACATTTTCAAAAGCTTGATTGGAGCCGCGAAGCTTCCTTTTCTATTACTCTTGGTAAAAAATCTCCAAAGATTCTAAACGCCGTGGGGTATCTCATAGCCATTGCCCAAAAACGCCATCAAAGTTCATCATCGTCACTGTCGTAGATGAAAATCGGCGTCCGCTTCGGACCACCACCATCCTCATCCTTGATCGTCAGCTTCCTCTCCGCGTCTCCTTCCTCCTTGACGTCTTCGTTCTCATCTTCGTCCTCCGTCTCTGTACTGCTACCTTCGACCGTCACATTCTGCTTCTTCACCTCAGCCTTAACCTCAGCCCCCGGCTCATCCTTCACCTCGGCCTTGACTTCCTCCTCCTTCACAGCCGCCGCCACCTCCGCCTGCGTCTGCACCTTGACAGTCTCCTCCGCCAACATCTTACCCTCGCGAATCTTGTAAAACGCCTCCAGGCAATTCCGCCTCTGCGTCTGCGTCCAGCTGCCGACGACAAGCGCAAACTCCGTCGCCGTCGCGAACCCGAACTCGCGCGCCATGGAGCAGAACTGCCGTCTCATGACATCCTCTGGCGGGTTATAGACATACGAGAGGCCCTTGAGCTTCTGCGCCTGCGCGTCAAACACCTGGCTATCCGCAAACAGAGCGCTGTCGCCCTCCCCCTCGATATCGGAGCTGGCGACCATCTCTGCCTTGCGCGAGAGCTGCTCCTCGATCTTGGACGTCCCAATCACTTCCGAGTTCTCGTGCGTGTACTCGACGCCCGCCGCAGACAGGATGGCCTGTACGGCATCGCTCTTGGCCTGTTGGTTCTTTGCCTTTTCGCCAGTCTTTGCGGCCAGGAACGCTGCGAGTTGGCCCATGTCGCTGTCTTCCGACGCATCCGCACCCACACCCCCTTCCAGCTTCACCTTGCCCAGCCCCTCACCTTCCTCCTTGGCGAGCTTCTCCATGTCGACGGCGGTCATTGCGATACCGGTCCCGGCCTTCGCTTCTGCGATGTTGGTCTTGTTGACGATGTCACGGATCACGAGCTGGTTCTCGCGGTACGTGAAGAGGTTCTCCAATCCAAAGATTTCTCCTTTGCGCTCAGAGTCCTGCTGAACACCTTTGAAGTAGCGACGTTCGGATGAAGCTGTATAACCAATATTTGCCTGCTGCTGCTTGTAAATCTGTCTCGCGTAGACAATCTCTTCAATGGTTCCGGTAGAGACGAGTCGAAAGACGTCGACATCCCGAACTTGACCGATACGGTATGCTCGATCTTGGGCCTGGAGATCGTACGATGGGTTCCAGTGAGGATCGACAATGACTACCTTGTTCGCAGAAGTGATATTCAGGCCGACACCACCAGCCCTGGTCGAGATCAAGAAGACGAACTGAGTCGGGTCAGAGTTAAAGTCATCCACAGCCTTCTGCCTGTTCTCGTAGCTAACGGACCCGTCCAGATACGTAACACTGTAGCTGGTATTGTGGAAGAGATGCTGAAGAATTCGAAGCAAGCGGACACTATGCGAGAAGACCAATACTTTGTCCCCGCTGTCATGCCAGTACTTGAGGAGTTTCTTCAAGACCTTCCACTTTCCGCAAAACTCCGGGTTGGCCAGGTTCATGATCGCGTCCCGGTTCTTGTAGAGGTATTTCCACGTGTCTGGACAGCAGGTTTGAAGCGTGCGCATCTCTCTCTTATGCTTGTCGTCTTGCTCGTTGCCCGTAGCCGGGATCAGGAGAGTGAGATGGTTTGACAGTTTCTGCAAAGTCGTTACGCAGGGGAAGATGATGGACTGCCACCCCGTGCCGTCGTCAAGCGTCTTGCGACAACACCATCCTTGCTTGTTGCCGGAGCCACATTCACAAGGGTCCGATAGGGTGCGCAGAAGTTCGACATCAGGCCTACTGATGAAGTTCTTGTACGCTTCCTGCTGCTGGTCCGTGAGGGGGCAAAAGACGACTCGGTCGCTCTTCTTTGGCAGCTGGTGGGCGATCAGCGTCTTCATCCTGCGCAAGAAGAAGCCGGGGAGCAGATTTGTGACGAGCTTTCTCGCGGTAGTTCGAGCGTCCCGCAATTGGTTCAAGGTCGCATCGTGGGATTGGCCCCGCGTCAGAGGTCTGGTAATGGTGGTGTTCCATTCCGACAGCGTGCCAAAATGGCCAGGGTTGGTCCAGTTCAGGAGAGTCCACAGTTCTTCGTACTTGTTCTGGATCGCCGTGCCCGTCAAGCCGATGCGACAAAGCGCGTTCACGTCGTTCATCGCCTTGGTGACCTCGGAGCTCCTTTCCTTCATTTGGTGGCATTCGTCGGCGACGACCGCGTCCCACTTGACTGTGTTGACCAAGCTCTTGTGATTCTTGTACGTCGAATAGGTTGTGATCATAATCTCTATCCGGCCTGCTCTGGCAGCGGACAGCACATCCTCTTTCCCCGCGCCGTGGAAAACGTCGACCTTCCACCATCCCCAGCGGTTCAACTCGTTCTTCCAATTCTCGATGATGGATCCTGGGCAGATGATCAGAACTGTCGGATACCAGCGGCCGGAAACGTCACGAATCTTCTTGAGCCGCTTCTTGTCCCGCTCGTCGGCGGTTTTGCCAAAAGCTGCCGTAAGGAATGTCGCAACCTGGACCGTCTTGCCAAGGCCCATGTCATCTCCGAGAATCCCTCCCCTTTGGTAGACGAACAGACGGTGCAGGAACTTGACGCCGACAATTTGGTACTCGCGCAAGTACTGGGCGATAGAAGCCGGTATTATACCTGCCGAATACTCGAGCTCGACATCTTCGTACGGCCTGCAAGGCTTGATCTTCGTGCTTTCGTCGAAATGGGGACGTCGCTCGAGATTTTGGGGTCGATCATCTTCGGGGAACACGACGTCCGAGTAGTCCGGTGGTAGCAATAGCCCTGCCTCCTGCAGCCTTTCCCGGGTCTGATCGAATTGTTTCCTTCGTTCTTTCAGATAGTCTGGCGCTTCCGCCACATCAAGGTCGTCCTCTTCCTCGGTGTCGTCGATCTTCACAACGCCGTTCTTCTTGGATGGCCTGCCTTTTCCCTTCGCCTTATCTTTCCTCCCCTTGCCAGTTGCGGCGCGCCGGCCCTTCTGCTTCTTGGGCTTGGGGAGCTCCAAGTCGGAATCGGCATCCCAGACTTCCTTTTCCTCGAAGTCAATGTCTACCTTTCGTTTCCCGAGGGCTTTGCTACTCGGATGTTGAGGTTCGTCGATTTCCGATACCGTCTCGCCATCTGATATCACTATCGCGTTTTTCTCGACCGGTCGGGTCATTGTGGCTGCGGTCGCATAAATCGCATGGCGTCATGGGTGTGTGGTAGCAGGACGTGAGGATGGTGGGGGTGTATGAGGACGCGACGGGACGCGACAGACAAGGTACTAGCACCTTGGGGTAAAGTTTCCAGGTGCCACAGGCCTAGGCAGCGCTGAAGGATGCGGGGGATGCAACCGGAGATGTCACTACCTCTTTTGGACATTATTATGGGTTTACTAGGTAATCGGAGATACGTATTCTACAAAATGCTATGAGCCTTCGGTTTAAGGTACTCCACAACTCCGCCCGGGGCCCGGGATTATGGGGCGACCGGAGCCCATCCCGCCGGCCAAGATGCCGGCGGAGTTTTCGGAGAGTTGCTTCCTCTCCCTCACAACCTACACTCTGCCCACACGAGTTGATAAACAAGAATAGTGTTTCAGCTGCACCGCATACCTCAATTGGATGGTCTCACACCGGGGTCGAGCTCGCAACACTGTCTGTTTGGCTTTACGCGCGTCTGAGACTGCTTTATCTGACCAGCACGTAGAAGCCCGACGTGGGAATCTTCCATTGACACTTTCGTACTTTGAGTACTTGAGACAAAACATGGTCTTACTTGGAACAGTCAATTTCTGCAAGTTTCTTCAGAGATACTTTCATTTGACAGTCAGTTCGCCATAGGCGACAATATTCTTACATAAGCACAGCAGCTTTTCCTGGCCTACACACTTTCCAGTCTTGAACCCGTCCTATTGCTCCTTTTGGGTATCAGTGTATATAAAGTCAATCATGATGGGGTATGCCTCGATGCTCCAGCGCCAAGTTCTCATCAAACCCCCCTTTGCTTTGAAAACGTCATACCGTCTCAATGCCTTTCAAGCTTTTCGTACTCGTATCACCGCTCTTCGTTTCCAGCTCGTAGCTTTCTCCGCTACCTGTGTTGTAGGAGCCCGCCCGCTCGGCATATTCCCGTCGGTATCCTGCCTCTTCCAACCGCTTCGCCGCGCTTGGGCTACGTAGCACATCTCCCTCTTCCTCATCAATGTACTTAAGAACCATCGTCCCCAGCCAATTACCAAACCTGGCGTTATTGGGAGGCGTTCTCGGACCGCGGAGCCGATCGTAGTAGTCTCGAATATACGGGCCGCGGCGCCAGAACGCTCTCGTGAACAGCGGGCTGAGGACCGGCAGGGTGACGGTGATGAGGCCGACGGCGGTCTCGCGGAACCCCCAGCGGTTGATATTGATGACGGACGGCGCACCGCCCAAAGTCGTGACCGCTCGAACGATTGCCGTCGAAATGACAAATACGCCGGATGAAAGCAGGATGCCGACGCCGATTTTGCGCTTAAAGGACACGCGGAGGTGCCAGAGAATCGGAACGGGGATGGAGAGGAGAGCCGCGTCTGTCAAGACGTTGAGCCACAATAGCATCCAAAAGTTTTGCGGTCGGAAGGTGCATTCTGGGCCTGGTAGAGGCCGAATTCGCCAGTTGTCGGAGTAGCTGTTCACAGTGTTAGGACGGCGATCGCGTTTGTCACGGGGAACGTACGGTTGACAGCTGAGTGTCACGGTGAGACATAGGACAATGTACGATAATCCACAGATCCAGAACAACGCGACCAGACTCCGTCTCCGTAGAATTCCAAGTGTTAGACGCTTGTAGAAAAATAGTACGGTGAACTTCAAGACCCCTAAGATTTCCGGGTCAGGGCGGTGTGTCAACTTGGGGGTAGGTAAGGCTTCTTACATATGCAACCTTTAATGACATTGTTAATCTCTAGCGATTCCAAGACACCGAAATATGCAGGTAGTGAATACGGCTTACCTGGGTATGTATACCAGGACATGAACTCCAACTTGGATCCCAGCTGGAGAACTGCGACATCGTGATCCGATAGCGATGGTACTGCATCTGCGGTGATGTCGATATTGGCTCCTGTGTAATAGCAGATTTGTACTACGTAAACATTGATGCTGTACAACACGAGATACTGCAGCAAACCAACATCAGTGCCAATTTGAGGAGTTTCTTCTTCCATCCAGTAACTCACTGGTAAAGCCAAGTAGTCGTCGCCGCGGAAGCCTCGAATCCCGACAGTACGAATACGAACCGCGAATCGCAGGAGGATTATGAAGACGCCGATGGCGTACCAGGCCTGCCAAGCAATACCCCATTAGCTACAAATGTCGATTATAGGCCGAGGAAACCAGAGCGGCTTACCCAGACTTCGGGCAGATAACTGTCGTCTTTTTCCAAGTGCACATTTGGACTTGGCTCCAACATGATCTCGTGTTGAGTGTGGCGAGCATCCGCATCTCGGTCGGTGGATGGTCAGATGGAATCGATGGAGAGCTATGGTGGAGAAAACGGGCAAACGATGGGAAGAATGTCCAAGAGCATCCCCCCTCACACATAAGGAAGAAAAAACAGCTTGTAACAATCCCGGGTAAACCCCTCTCCGGAGATCCCACGCCGAAGAGACAATGAACATGGGGGAAATCTTGCGGGCGGACAAAGGATAGCTTCCTTGCGAAGAATCCAAATCGAGCAACGCTAATCGGGTGGGCGCCCGGACAGAAACTCTAATTAGTGAGGTTGCCATTGGCACGTTGCTGCCACCGGCAGACGAGACTTGGGACGTGGCACTTGGGCCTCTATGATTGAGAATAGCAACGTGGGTGTGAGAGTCGGGGAGTCAGAGAGCCAGGATCTGCTATTACTCTCCGCGTGGCCGAAGTTGCCTGAGCAGGACGACAATGGCAAGTACATCACAATCTGCAAGAGATTGGGCTCAAGTCCGTCGTCTAGAGATGTAACCACCGGCCTCCCGGCTTTGTCCTTTTCGTCGTTGATCGATGGGCATCGAGTTAGTGTCGATCGGGCGGATAGACCATCGCCCACATCACGGACCTCTCGGGACGCCACGTGGGACTGCCGAGCGGTTTGCGTCTTTCACATCAGCTTGAGAGATGTCATGTTGAACTTTAATATTCTGCATATGGCAGGAAATGCGGCTCTAGAGCTTTGAAAGAGGCGCTTTGTTTGAGCCCGATCTACCGTACACGATGGTAAAGTTCCTCTCCAATCTGTCTTGTGTACCAAGCTGCGGCTCCTTCGACGTTCCTGGAGCCGGTTTTCCAAACGTCTCACCGCCACAGTTAGCTTGGTGGCGGGAGAGAATATCGAATGCTGCTTGACTCTCATCTTTTTGATAGTCTGCGTGAAGCAACGCGCCAATGAGCGCTTCTGCCACGATCCAGAGGATGCGTCTTGCGTCTCCAATGAGATCCGCCTGCGACTTTTCCATCAGGGAGGCTTTGACTGCAGTCCACGAGTCTTTTGGTTTCCAAACATTGGCCTCTCCTTCGACATCGCTTTGGGAAAAGACAGCGTCAAGCGCATCTATGGACTCCTGTCCTCCCTTTGGATGCTTCAATGCTCGCAAGAAGTCTGTTGCGAGAACATCCGTGGTGCCTTCCCAGATCGACAGCACGCAGCAGTCGCGGTACAGCCTGGCGATGTTCAGGTACTCGGTCTCTTCGTTCAGCATGTACCCGACACCTCCGAGAGCCTCCATACAACTGTACAGCAGCGGAAGCGACTTTTTGCAGACATAGGCCTTGCAGAGCGGTGTCAGGATGCGCAAGAGGGGCGCAATGTGTTCCTGGTCTGGTGTGATGGCAGCAAGAGCATCCGATAGACCAGACCTGCCCGCTTGCGGGTTCTCGTCCAAACCCAAAACGTATGCCGTGAAGAAAGTCAGAAGCATGAGACCGTGATACTCTCCAGTCACCTCCGCCAAGGTCTGCATGTGTAGCGGGCTTTCCGTCAGGAGCATCCGCTGACGCCTTCCTGCGCCGACTTGTCTGACTTTGGCGTATGCCCTCGCGACAGCCAGACCTCGACCCACGTATCCCACAGCACCTACGGCGGAGTGTATGCGCGTGAGAGTGAGGATGGTGCTAATCTCGTTGATGCCGCGGCCCTCTTGGCCCAGGAGCCAGCCTCGCATGCCATCGAGCTCGAGCTCGGCCGTGGGAAGTGACTGCGTACCAGACTTGTTCTTCAGTCTTTGGATCCGGACACCGTTTAGCTCCGTTCCGGCGGCGCCTTTAGGCCGTCCAGTCATTGTCACTGCCGTGGGGCTGTGTCGCCTCATTGGTGCGAAAAAGGCACTGATACCGCTCTGCGTCCTTGCGAGGAGGACAGTCATGGCTGAGTCCGTGGCGCTGGAAAACCACTTGAATCCTGAGATTGACCATGGGCCTAGAGGGATATTCTCCACTGCGTTTGCGAGGGCTGTTGCCGAGGATGGAATGTGCTGAGCAACTGTTTCGGTGAGAGATACATCGCTTCCACCGGTTCGCTCGGTCATCCACTGCCCGCTAGTCCAGGCAGTTGCTGGCTCCCGAGACAGAAGATGTTGAAGCGCATTCTCCAATGCCTTTCGTTGCGTTGGTTCCATGTCTCTTGAAAGATGAAGTTGTAAGAGTCGAGCTGCCCCATCTTGCATAGCCGATGGGCAGGTGACGTTGGAGGCCGAACTCCCCCACAAGTGAATCCTCAGGAACTGGACCACGCGAGCGGAGGAGCCGAGTGAAGCATCGTACCCTGTAGCGACGATGCCCTTCTTGATACCAAAGTCTTGCAGGCTGCGCCAGCCTTCGCCGACGACCAGCTCGGACGTAGGCCGGCCAAAGGAGTCACGGCCGTTACCGTTTAGGTACGGCTTGTTCTTCTCCGAGTCTGTGATCCAGGAGAAGACTTGGTCGGATAGTACATCCTCGCCGAGTTGCGCGATGTCGACTTCGACACGCTCTACAATGTCCCTTGGTAGGAAGACTAGATAGGTTCAGCAACATGGGACGAAAGCGATTCGACACTGACGGTACGTACGCCTCAAAGCTCTTTGAAAGCTGGCATCATCGAAGAATTGGTTCGGCAGAACCGGGAGCTCCTGGAAAAAGCCAGTATTCGAACTAGAGGGTTCCATGGCGGCGTATCTCGGACACTCAGATCTTTGGCAAGCGGCTAGGATGGGTGAGAGACTTGAACACTGTCTCGGGCTTCCTCCAAACTCAGGTGAACTAGGAACAGGTGCATGGCTATTGAACCCCAGATCCGGACCAAGATGTACCCCGGGTTCTGGGCCATGTATGATGTGAGACACTCGCGGGGCCGGCAATTTGTGGAGTTGCCGAGGGACCCCACACCCATAAAGTGCCGGGAGAGTGCCTTTCGGAGCCGACAGCTGTTTCGGCCGAGTTTCCGCGACGATTCTGCGAAGTATTTCCATCCCATCTTGATTGAAAAGGGAAGCCAGGCTTCCCGGTGGTCGGCTCAACAATGATCCCTCGATCTTCACTCCTCTGGCAAGTTCGGCACGGAAGCTCACATCTTTGGTCTTGGACAACATCATATCCCCAATCGAACGCGTGGCTGCGATCCACTCACCGCCAGATCGAGCCGACAACCCTCAATCTCGCAACTAGGACCATCGCCGGACGTGCCCTTGGCCCTACGTAACAGCGAAGGGCTAACTCCAAGCTTCCAATGTCTAAGTACCGGCATTCTACCTAGTATCTTTGGGCGGTACCAGAGGCCGCATGAAGACTACCTGGTAGGTAATATGTAGCAACGCCAGTACGACGAGACGATGCTACCAGAAGCAAGCGCAATAGTCCTGAATCCATCATCAATGTCCGACCGCGCATCAAGAGCTAAGGCAGGAGAGATTGGTCTCATTTGCGGATTCGGAGACGGCTCATGAGGCTTGCCGCTTGAGAGGCGTTTTGCGTCGTGTGGCTGAAGCTGGTTGGGCCGCTGAGCTATCAGCCCCGGATATTCGATGTGACTGTGACGTCAGACTCACCTTGTTCGGTGAACCATGATTTTCTGGTGATCATCTTGGGACAACGACATTCCAACGCAAACAGGGCAGCATCAGCCACATCTGGCCAAACATGTCGCACTGCGCTGGCCGCGTGACGGCCCCCTCAAAATGACACCCAAGCCTGCTTTTTCCTTGCTGATCTGGGAGAGTCTGGAACCAGTTGAGCCACAACGATCGCCACACACGTTGCAAGCCATTGGAAGGGCGGCCTCTTGTAAGTCACATTCTGGGCGATGCCGCAGTCCCGATGTTGCGCAAGTATTACTAATTCTTGTGTCTTTCAGACCGAAGAGAATTACGGCACAGAATGCCTCCATCAGTTGAATCGTCCGATGAAGTCATGCTGGTTGGATCTCATTCTTCTAATGGCCACAGGCCGCGATGTGCTACAACCTACACGAGTACTGCTGTTTTCATTTAGGGTAGTTCGACCTAGTGCTCTCGGCCTTGTTAGCCTTGCAATTTCCTTTTCTTTGCCCAGAAACCCGTCGCATTGGCTGACGGCATTCGAAATTTCGCCAATCTTACACCAACAAGCCTAACCGCCAGCCAAAACCCCCAACGATTATCTAAAGAAAAAAAGGTCGACAAAGGGGCAATCACCGCGCTTCCTGCAGTGCAGGGCAAGGATCGTAAGTATCGCGGCCCCCGGCAAAGGCTTGTTTCAAACTTCACGACCGGGATGGTAGACAACCACATCCTATCAGAGTCATGCTAGCCTGACATTGTCTATTCCTCTGGCCATTCCAGCCCCCGGTCTGATGACCTCACAAGACTGGGCAGAGACTCAGAGAGAGAAAGAAGAGCCAACACGGACTCCCGACAGAGTGCCACGAAGCCCAAACCCCGG